ACATTGTTACTGCCTACCTCCTTTTGCAAAGTGCAATAATTAAGAATCCTCCATTTCTTTCTGTGACTTGCAGTTTCTGAAGTCGTACCTATTGATATCAGAGCCCAAGAATACGTGTGATTATTTCAGGCTTGAGGTCACGGTGAAAGGGAAGGTGGAGTATGAGGGTGAGTATTGGTTCGCCCCACATGGTTCTCACTGCATCAAATATGCTGGGACTTCATGATGTAGAGGAGGCATGGCCATTCATCTCAGATGCACATTTACAGCTTTGTGGTTGTCTGCCGTACTGCTGCTTGTAGTTGCTCCTTCCAGGAGATGTGCTTTTTCAGAGTGTCACCCTCATCTGTCTTTCTCCTTCCTGACACACCCATTGTAGCTCATCTGTGAAATCCCACATCCAACAGAGAGACCTAGGGGTTCAGGAAGATAATTCTTTGAAGTTTACATCTCATATAGACAGGGTGGTTAAGAAGGCATTTAGCACACTTGCCTTCATTGCTCAGACCTTTAAATAGGAGTGGGGATGTCATGTTGAGTTTGTACAGGACGTTGGTGAGGCCTCTTCTGGAGTAATGTGTCCAGTTCTGGTCACCCTGTTATTGGAAGGATATTATTAAGCTGGAGATGGTTCAGGAAAAAGTTACCAGGATGTTGGCTGGAATGGAGTCTTTGAGTTCTAAGGAGAGGCTGAATAGGCTGAGACTATTTTTACTGGATCATAGGAGATTGAGGGATGACCTTTATAGAGGTTTATAAAATCATGAGGGGCATAGATAAGGTGAATGGCAAGTGTCTTTTCGCCAGGGTGGGGGATTTGAAGACTGGGGGCCATAATTTTAAGGTGAGAAGAGAAAGATTAAAAAAGACATAAGAGGCAGTTTTTTTTTTAACACAGCCAGTGGTTCGTGTGTGGAATGAACATTCAGAAGAAGCGATGGATGCAGGTACAGTTACAACATTTAAAAGACATTTGGAAAAACACATGAATAGGAAATGTTTGGAGGGATATGGGCTAAGCGCAGGCAGGTGGGACCAGTTTAGTTTGCGATTATTGTCGGCATGGACTGGTTGGACCTAAGGGTCTGTTTCATGCTGTATGACTCTATAACTCTTTCTGCTGACTTTCCATGTTGCTGTCTAGAATAATAATCTGCAGATTTTCAAAACAGACAAAACATTATCATGCTTTAAGACTTATTTTTGCATTTTCAACTAAAAAGACCTCTTCATTTGTCTTACTGTACTCAGATTTTTTTTAGCATGTGTTTAGCATCCACATTTCTATTTTCTTCCATAGATCTTTCCTCGTTTCCCACACTTCTGAGGTATACAGTAAATTGGATCAAATGTATCATGAGTTTTATTCCTGTATGCAAAGTTGAATTTTTTCATTGTTAGCACATTCCTTTATCTTCATAAAATTACTTCAAACTTCCTTTTTCTAATGACTGGATCACATGTGTCATCATTTGTCCTAAATAATGATAATCATTGATCAATGCAATTATAGATTTTTTTTCCTTTTCAATTTGATTTTGAAACGCGCTGCACTGTTTCTGATCATTTCTGTTCATGGTCAGTTTGTGAGAAGTGAGAATTAGTTCAGATCTGCAAACACAATTTGTACAGTTTTAATTTCACACTAGCAAGAATAAGTCAGTCAAATATACATTTGTAGTAAAAGCTGCAATTCTAAATTCTTAATTCTCAACTGAATTTTTAACTGGCTAATATCCTTTGCTATCTCAGCATTTAGAAACATAGCTAGAAACTTTAAGGCTGCAAGGAAATTGTATTTTGTCACAATTGATTCAAATGCTAAAACATGATAGTATGGGCTTGTATGTAGAAAAAGGTTACAGCACAGAAAGAGATCATTTGGTCCATCATATCTATGCCTATCTTAAATAGTAACAGTAGAACAATAATACAAAATCAGCTTTGATGTTCATTTTCTCATCTGATTTTACTCATCGGATCTTGCAGATTTCCCAAGAAGACATTATAGAGCATAGAACATAGAACGGTACAGCACAGTACAGGCCCATTCGGCCCACGATATTGTGCTGACCTATTATTCTACTAAGATCAAACCACCCTGCATACCCTACTTTATACTGTCATCCATGTGCCTATCCAAGCGTCACTTAAAAGTCTTTAAAGTATCTGACCCCACTACCACTGCTGGCAGTGCATTCCACACACCCACCACTCTCTGTGTAAAGAACCTACCTCTGACATTTCCCCTATTATTACCACTAAGGTTGGAATCAATATCGGTGAAACAACACCTATAGTTTCACATCACAGCTGTAGGGTTGAATTTGGCTGGGAAACTTCAAGAGTTGGGCAGGGAATTCATGAACTGAAAATGTTCATGCAGGAAATGTATTGTTTTCCTTGCTTACAAGCATTTAATAAATGGAAGGATATTAAAGAGGGCAGTTAATTGTGAGGAGGACAGAAACAGGCCCTCAGCAGGATGTAGCCATCATGGCGGACATAGCAGCAGAATGGAAGTGAAATGTGCCAAGAGAGGTGCGAAATTTGCTGGAAAGAATCAAGGAAGTCAATGGAAATTAAATTGGACAACGTTAAGTGGATGCAACAACAAGGGATCTGATGCATTGCAATTGTTTGACAGTGGCAGAACAAGTAGTGAAAGAGGAAGCGAGCACAAGGCAAGGAACTTTTGCCACATCTTTGATTAAGCGTTGGTAAGGCCTCAGTTGGGATATTTTACCCAATTTGAGCACCACATTTTTAGGGATGATTCACAGGCCTTACAGAGGGTGCAGGACACATCAACTAAAATGGTAGCATGGGGTGGTGTGGGGGGGGAGATGTTGCTTCTTGTAGACTGGAGAAGTTGGGATCAAACCCCTTGGAAATGGCAGAGACTAAAGGGAGGTCATATGGTGTTGTTCAACATTATGAATTGTTATCGTACAGTAAATAAGAAATGTTTCTTTTGCAGTATGAAAAGGATTGACGGTGAAAGGAGATAAAGTTTTCAGGCAATTTTCAGAAAACAACAGTCAAGGCGAAATGAGAATTCGTTTTATTTTTGGGACTGTATTGTGAGCTGATATGCACTGCCTGAAAGAGTAAGATAAGCAGATTTAA